TATTATACTTATTATTATCTTAAAATGATTTAAATCAAAAATTTGAATTGAGCGCCATCTATGAAACAATAGGGGAATCTGTGTGTCACCGTCAAATGTCAAATTTTTGTATTTTATAAACACAATTATAAAGGTTATAAATCGAAATGTATTTCTTGAAAATTGACAGTTTTATACAGTGAAAGTAAAGAAAATGTTTTATGAGCACTTTACAGTGGAGTCCGTGCCCGAATTTAAGTTATAGTTTACTGCCGGCGAAATTAAAAGGTCAGTACAATGTTCATATAAACTTTTCAAATATTGCCGTTGAGAAACTATTTAATACTTTTGTATTAAGATAATAAAATAATTTTCACATTTAGTATTATTTTACAAGAAAGGCAATTTATTTTAACGATTGTATGACATTTGACAACTGTCAACTAACTTAAAACTAACTTCAGCCCTTGACTAAAAACCTGTTGCTAACTTCAGCCCGTGACTAAAGCGCCATAAGGCCACACATTTAAAAGGTCACTTAGTGTCATGGAAATATGTGCGATAAGGGGCGTTTTAAAGGTGGGAGTAGAAAAAATATATTAATGCTTAATCGCGAGATTTTAAATATAATTAAAATTGCCCCAAACGACGTTAGTACCAGTCGCTCGCCTAACGGAGTAAAAAAAATATATTTTTTTCACAACTACTTGTCCAAATTTCACTTGAATTAGTTAAGAGCAACAAAGTATTGTTTAAAAGTTAAAAATTATGTTGAGGCATTTAAGAGACATATGGAAGAGATTTTTTCATATTTTCATAAGTAATGTAATTTTGCTTTGCTAATACAAACCCAACACATTCCTAATCGCAATTTTAAAATCGCCTATAACTTTTAGTGCCTTTTAGTTATCCTCTTAAATAAAATAATTGCATTTTACATTTTTTTATCGTCAAAGACAGTAATGACCCATTCTTTTTATTAGAATAAAAATTTGGTGTTAGATATATTTCGTTTTGCTACAACTTGTAGCTTACAAGACATTTTGCGTAGGTAATTAACTTAATTTTATTAGAAAATAACAATATTTTAAATATTTGAAAAAATATTGGTAAAAAACCATTTTAACTTCTTACTTGTTTTGTAAAAAATTAAAAAAAATTCTAATAATAATTATACACGAAAAAAGCAAATGGGAAAGTAATTACATGGATAATAAATAGTGTATAAATATTTAGACCACAATTTTTTGTCTTATTTATATTTTTTAGTAAAACTATACAATTTAATATTAATAAAATTAAATAAACAAATCAGTGTTTTACTTACATAATATATTATATAGTAAATTCAAAAGGAAACGACGTACACGTCTGCTGATCGGGCACGGTTGTCAATGTGATGCTAAAATCATTGCATCAAGTGAAAGTGGTAGTGCAACTACAGGGCGATAGATGGCGTTTACATGAATAATACCATGGGGTCCCTAGATTTGGGACCTTAGAATACCAAAATGTCACAGCCAAAAGTATGTTTTTAACAATTTATAAAGACATTTTCAGCTATAAAACCCAGAAATTATGCCATCTAAAGTCAGTCTCTGGTATTCATATTCTTATTTTATGTATCCAACATATATTTTGTTAAATATTCTAATATATAATTAATAATAATCCTATTTACTTCTCTAACAGCTGTAACAAAGGTCCATTATTATCCCGTTCTGCCTCAAAATATCGTATTAAGGATGATACCTACTCATGACTCTGACTATTTAAATGCTTCGGCATTTTAAATATAGGAAAAATGATTTATAACAAACACAAAAACGGCAATGAAAACTTAAACGATATAAAATAACACAAACAACAAACAAAACAAACGAAATTATACACGAATTAAGCTTAATTTTCATGTATCCGTTTGTCCGTCAGTCCGTTCATCCGGGAGCGCTCTTATTGGTCCAATTATAATTCGAAAATTATGACATTTTATCGGTCCGTCAAGTTTCAACTTCGTACGTCTGACAGATAAAGGTTAAATAATTTTAACTCATCCGTCACTACGCATCTGTTTTTGACGCCTAACGTTATTTTAAGATAATTTATTTTCAAATATTTTTATATTTTTTCAATAAGATTGTAAAACGGAAATATTACGTTCGTTATGTGAATAATGTTTTACTGTTAAGTTTTTATTTAATAAGAATAACGGAAAAAAAGAAAGGACAAACAAAAAAAAAATTAAAACTATAACTAAAAGGACCTGCTTTTTTTAATGTATATTAGGGCTAATATATTATTTTTATAAGGTATATTTACCTACCTTTAAATTTATTAGACAGCTAACTGTTAAAGTTACAATTGTTGACATAATTGTAACTATGACAATTAAGCATTTAGTAAGTGATTATACTGACACTTAATTTCTATTTGTCGCAAAATCAATCCGTTAAACGTCATTAAAAAACGTATGCATGAAAATTAGAACATTTCTTATCGGACGATTTTATTGAAAAACTGACATACGGATGACGGACAAACGGATACATAAAAATTAAGCTTTAAACGAAATATTGAAAAACACAACTGACAGCTTCAAAATTCTAAAACGTCAATTTCTTTTTCTATGCGTCATTTTATTAAGGAAAATTTTAATCTAAACATGACAACATTGCAATGGCTGCCAACTGAAGTTGTTTAAAATGCATTAAAATATTCAATTACAGACTTCGTTTTATACATTTAGTGTTGGTACCAGTGCGCAAAATTATGACGTCATCGATGACGTGTACGTTGTTTTCTTTTAAATTTACTATATGTATAGTTATCGCGGCGAATGTTTCAAATTGCGTCATCAATGTCGAATGTCAAAAACCGATTTCTTGAAATACGGTTAACCTAGTGGTTCCTTGGATTATATACGTAAAAGAAAACAATTGTAATGTCTGTGCTTGGTTCAGAATTTGATGACGCAATTTGAAACATTCGCCGCGACAACTATATATAGTATACAAATAATTATTTACCGAACATTGGCTATAAATTTGTCCGTACAAATTTTATTTATTATTGCTAAGCAAATGTGAAATTTCTCTGCAGCTTTACGCTTGAGAAATTTTGAGGTATGTTTACATTTAAGTTGTGATTTATGAGCGCATATATATCTTTAGGTAAAGCCACGCGGTACGAAATTGTACGAAAAGTGTAGTAAGTTTGAAGAAATACTAGATTTAGTATCCACCCACATTAATTCTACTTATTGGATTCAGAATATTTATTGCTTATTTTGAGTAGTAATTTTTGGACTATATCCATTAATAAATAATTAAGATTATAATCTTTAATTAATTATTAACTTGTGAGTTATAAATTTAAGAAAAACAATTTTTGTAAAATTTATTTATACATATTTTAAAAAGAAAACCAATTCTACAACGCTTGCTTTTTGAAATTCACGGTTTTGGTTTTATTTTATTTTTTTAGTTAGGTATCACCTTTAATGATCAATAAAAAATTAATATAAATAGAATAACCCATATAATGGAAAAATAATAAAATAATACTGCCCTACTATGGAGAAAGGCAGTACCTAACTGCTAAACAAGAAATTTGTGGAAAATTAGCATACACTACATTTTTATAAAAATTAGTTGGTATTTAATTGATTTCTTTAAGAGATATTTGACTGCATTTCTGTGTTGAATTCGGTTACAAAATGTCCATAGCTTTATCATAGCACAAGAAAACGCATTTTGCATTTTTTTGCAGTTACTGCCTTTCTCCATAGTAGGGTAGAATAGATAAAATAATAATTTCAGACATTGTCCAATACAAATAAACTGAAAAAACGTAAATCATGTGTAGTATACATAAAAATAAAGTAATTTAGGACATCCATGTGCTCATAAAAGTGTATATCTTAAAATTACTTTTATAATCTGCTCCTGTCGTATTAGCACTTTATATACCTACATGTAGGTAGGAACAACATTCAATAATAGTATATTCTGTAAAAAGTTTGGAATACGGGATATATCGCTCGAGTAAAAAGTTTGTTACACGAGCCGAAGGCGAGTTTGACGGTTCCACACAATTCCAAATGTGTTTCAGAGTATACTTTTTTTACGTTTTCAAAAAATACAATAGAAAAATAATTTAATTGGGTTAGAAGTGAGGTTGGATCGGTAGTTGTATATGTAATGTATATGTATATGTAATTCCACATTAAAAAGTGATGTTAGACCGGTCAAAAGAGTAGAAAAAAGATTTTTTCTTCTCGTATACGACCACTTTGTAAAAGTCACATTTAGTAATGGCATCGCTAATGTAAAGTGACATTTCTGTGTGAAACGTGACAGGTCTATGTTAAAAGAAATTGACAGCATCGTTTAACATTCGTTTCAAAATATGTATTGTATTTGTATATGTTTGTCTAAATATCATTTAGAACACAATTAATTGTGTTTGGATAATAAATAAATTTTTTAGAGCATTTCGGCCATTTCAAGCGGATGGAGGTAATTTATTATATATTATTTTTGCATCAAAATTGTCAAATATATTCTTCTATTATAAGGCTATACATTAAATAAAAAAAATCGCAAGAAATATTTTATAAAAGTAGAGATAATTTCAATAATTGACAGGGATGGACGGGACAAGATAATTCTTTTTTTTGTCCCGTCCACACCTTTCAATTATTAAAATTATATCTACTTTCATAAAATATTTCTTGCGTTTTTTTTTATTGAATGTATAACCTAATAAAAGAAGAATATTTTTGACAATTTTGATGCCAAAATATTATATAATAAATAAACTACAATTTTTTTTATAAAAACAGTTTTGTAATTCGTGCGTTTCGCGCGCTTGAAATGGCCGATTTCTTTAAATTGAAAAGGTAAGTTTATTGATTTTAAGTAACTTATACCTTAAAAATTAAAAGAATAAGATAAAAGTAATTTTAACAGCTGTCAAACAAGTTTTTAACTTATTTTGTAATGTTTTGAAAATAATAAAAAATGAAAGGGTGTGAGAAAAGCTTTCTTCAAGCTCGTGTTATGCCTGATGGCCTTGTGAGCAACTTAAACACTCGCATTAAAAAGTCGCTTTTCAACAAATAACTATTTTCTACTCCTATAACGGGATTTGACCGTTTTAATATCAGTTTTTAACGTGGAATAACATATATTCCTGAAAGTATGATCGGATGACGGAATAAACACTGGAGGCGACATCTCTGTGGTTATTATCTAACAAATTTAGACCGATCCAACCTCATTTTCTCTCAATTAAATAATTTTTCTATGGTATTTTTTGGAAAAGTAGAAAAAGTATAGTCTATATATATAAATTCGTCATAAGCAACATTTGCTTTTTTATGTAACCTACTGAGGTTCCTTTTTATTTGAAAAGGTATATAGTATTGTTTATTATAAAACATAATAAAGTTTTAAAAGTATATTTCATTTATTCTGTGCTTCTTATTTACATTATTTATAGTTTTAATAATTTCCATAAAAAGTAATATTTAAATTGTAATGATATCCCGGCGCATTCGCCATTTTTGTGACTACTTTTAAGTAATATTTTTGTATTGTTAATTTCGCCAAACTATCATATATTGTGCAACGAGTGGAGAAAATGGTCAACTATGAACGAGCAAAAATGCGACTTTATCTTTGACCATTGTTCACGAGTTAGGTACATATTCTTTTGTCCCACAATCGAATCAAAAATTACATAAAAATTAACATTTTTGTAAAAATGATTTGACCTTAATTAAGTTTTCTTAAATTATTTTCAAAAATTGTGTTTTTGGGGTGCCTTTTAATTTTTTCTCCAAATATGTAACCAATGTTTAAAATTATATTTATGTAAGTATATATTATCTGTATCTTACAAATAGCTGTAATTTATCATTTACAATTTTCTTTTTGTTATTTTTCATTGTTCCACTAATATACCAATATTTTAATTATTTAACTAGTGTAACAATAGTTTACTTTCTTTATTAAACGTATGTCTTAATTCCACGTGCGTGTGGGATACAATAACTTTTTTACATTTTTTAATTTTAAGTTTAATATTAACAACGTAAGATTTATTAATATTACTTTTTAAATTTTATATTTAAAAATTTCTACCAAACTTTCTTCAATTGAAGAACTCTACTATGTGAACATGTTCTTGGTTAAAAAAAATAATTTATAAATAGTATCTTATATACTCTTAAATTGTATTTACCCTCGCACAAAATACACACGCGCTGTGTATTTTATTGTTAAAATATATTATTTTTATTTTCTTATTTCATTTAAGGTTTCCATTTCACGTTTCATCGTATTTTCTGTAAAGCTCCTATATGAACTGCTTAAATGCTTCTCCGGTCCCTTTTATTTTCGTACAGGGTACAAAAATACATTGTAATCAAAGGGTGCAGTGAAACAATTTTTAGAGAGTTATTTAAGTGTTAAATTAGGGTTTTACTTCGGAAAACCCAGGTAAGATTTTTCTTCGGAATCTTGTTTATATGGGCACTAGTAATAATATTTCTGGCTTTAACAAAATTTAATTGAAAGTCAAGGTGACGAAATAGTTTTTCTCTATATCTCGTAGTTTACAAAATATCGAGAAAAACAGTTTGTTGATTTTGGGTAAATTTTGGTAAAAATTTAATTTATTTTTTAGGTAAATTTGCATAAAAATGGTTTTAAACAAAATTTACGCAAACTATTAAAAGTTGTATAGATAATTGAAAATGGCTACGGTTTTTAATAAACATTTTAAAATATAGACATAAATGTCATCCTAAAAGGCTTTTTTATCTTCAAGCGTTCAATAATTTAAACTTTATTATTGTCAACACGCATTAGTAAAGTGATTATCGCTGAAGAGATAATTTAGACCAATCGAGTTGAACCAATCAAAAAATTCTACTACTGTCATTTCTATCCAACCTCACTTTCTACTATTAATAATTATTGTTATTAATAAACGTTTAAGGTATCGTTTAACAAATAAAATTGTGCCTTAAAAATAAAACATTGTATGTCATTCGGCGAAGGTGTCTTTTTGTGCTTTAATATCGGCACAAAAACACTTTTTAACTATTTATTTTGTTTTGTATGGTAATTTATTAAAACGTTGATGTTTTATATCATAATTTATTACCTATCAAAATTTTGTTGTTAATTATTAAAACAAAATTTTATATCGGAGAAAGTTTAGGATGTTAATTTTAATAAAGTTGCTTTCCAACATTCTTTGGCAAAATACTGATATGGAATAAGGAATAAAATAAATTGATTTTTTTTTATGAATAATATTTGAAAATATAAAATATATCTGATATTTTAAACAAAATTGGATAATAGAAACTGCCCTTATGAGTATGAGTATGAGAACGTATGGCAGGCCCCAGATATATTGTCATCCACTAATCTCCCGGGGTTATTTTACCCCCTTTCCGTTCTCCTGCGTATCCCGCCAAATCACAGCATTACCTGTGTTTGTTGGATCCGAAGTTTTTACGCCGGCTGGTAGTTCCACCCTAGGAGGTCGTGGATGACAGTGTCAAAGGTTAAGGCCGCTCCCGGATTTTTGTCAGCCGGGTCGGGCCATACGTCCAGTTTAGGAAGGGTTTTTGGAGGACATTGAACTGACCCAAAACTAAGTACAATCCGGAATCCTCCTCAACCTAGGCCTTAGTAGTAACCCCATTCATTTGGTATTCGTGAATGGGGGTGGGTATGTTAGTTCTTTGGTTACTCCGGCTACCAACCTTGTATATTCTTTATTTATTTTATTGCTAAATTAGTGTTTATACCGTTTTCATTTATTTTATATCTTTGCATTCTTACTTTTTTTTCCAAATTTAATTTAAAAATATAAATATTAATATACAAAATAGATAAAGCCGGCCCTGTAGTGTATGTGGTGGAATGCCACCATATGGTCTGCATTGACTATTGATAGGGTCTTCTTCTTATCTTCTGTGCTGTTCTTGTATTTTGAGCCGGGGTGTTAGTACGCTGCTAGAACCTGTCCTTGTTGGTGAACTATTTATTTTGTTGTTAAATTAGTGTTTATACCGTTTATTATTATTTATTTTGTATCTTTGCATTCTTAGTTTTTTTCCAAATTTAATTTAAAAATAAATTAATATACAAAATAGATAAATCCGGCCCTGTGGTGTATCGTATTAAAATTTGAAATACGGCCTTAAGTCAGGCGTGTAACGTATGCTTTAATAGATGGTTTATTTACGTTATTTTTACGTGGGCGTTTTGTTTATTTACTTTCGTTATCTTTTAAGCTTTGCTTTGTGGCTGAGCTGTATACAACTTATAAGTTTATGCTTATATTATATAATATATATAATACAATAATATAATATTGTGACGTTCTTACTTGATTTTTTTTTTACACACGTACGCTGTTTTCGGTAATGATTAATTGTTGCCCGGTTTTTATTACAGATTTGCGTATTAGGTCATGCAATAATACTTATCAGAATCTGCTGGTGATGATCCCTTTCGCTCTTTGTTAGACTTGTTTTTTTCTTTAAATAGGTGATTCATTGACCTGTCCCCTGTCACTTTATTACTTCGTATCCGCACGAACCTCACCCATATGTTCACCGTTGAGAGATTGCCTTTTGAGGAATTATTAAATGTTTCTATTAACCCTTTGAAGAACAGGTACCCTGATTTCACCTGTACAGGTATGTAGTAACCCAAAATATGTATGTAATAGTTATGTTTCTTTAAGAATTTTATTGTGGATCGGCACTAAGAGCGTTCGAACTACACATCCACTCTCTTCCCCGGCATCGATAGTACTGGATATGGTACTGGATAATTGAAACTGCCCTTATAATTAATTAATTTAAAACCGTGCACATGAAAATTAATGTTTCGGGTAATTAAAAACTGCTCAAATTGGAACAAAATTGAACAATTGAACTGCCCTTCCATTTAATTTATTTAAAACCGGGTACCTAATTCCATATACAAATTATTGTTTCGGGTAATTAAAAACTACCCAAATAAAAAAAAAATTGATAATTAAAAACTCCTCCTACTTTTAGTTTTAATATTGGTTTGTTGAATAAAATAAAAAATAAAAGTAACAAGAATTTAATTGAATTGACTTATAGTATATTATGTATCAAGTTTTATAAACGCCATTTTAGACTAAAGCTTCGCTAGTGCTTAATTAAACTCGTAACTAAAATTTTTAGTTACGAGTTTAATTAAGCACTAGCGAAGCTTGCGAGCGAGTGTTTAATAAAAACGAGTGTCTAGAGAAGTTTATAAACTAGTTGCATAATATACTATTATAAAACGCCATAAAGTTACAGCTCGTCAATGTAGGAGTAGATAAAAGTAGTTAATTCAGCAATATGGACTAAGCCCACATGTGTTTTTTAACTTTAACACGTCTGCATTTGCAGAAACAATAGGGACAGAACGTTTGCCTATACAATTGACGTGTTTGCAATAACAGTTGGGTTTTGATTTTGATTTTATGATTTACCTGTAATTGGGATCTTGATTTGCCTGTCTATCTTACTTAAAACTTTTTAGTTAAAAGTATCTCTAACAATTACATGTATTGTTTTTTAATTAGAAAAAACATCGTATTTAAAAAAAAAATTATAGTGTCCCACAGAATAATCGTAACCGCAAACGTGTTAATTCAAAAAAACGGTTTGTGATTTTTTGCATAAGGATGGTTTATGAGCCAGTAAGATAGAAATATTTATAGATAGAGAAGATAGAAATAGTTTATGGGCCGAAGAGTGACAACTATATCTGTAATTGGTACATTCCAAGCAAAGCCGCGGGTCTACATCTGGTATATAATTTTTATTGTATTTCTGTCTATGGGTATATAAAACCTGCTTACTTATTACTTTAGTTATAACTTAAACATGTATTGTTGGTAATAAATACAATTGTTTAATATTGTTTTTTCATTTCAGTATATTGGTATGCTTGATGTACCCAGGCCTACAAGTAGAGTGGAAATTGTTGCAGCAATGCGAAGGATTCGAGTAAGTTTATTTTAATTAATAAACACATTTAAAATATAATATTAATTTTGCGAATGTTTTTGTACTGTAATTATAGCTTATAGTAAAAATGGCTTTATAATAAAGTTGTTTCAATTTTATTTTTAAATTGTTATTTTATTTGTTTCAGTACGAATTTAAAGCAAAAAGGATTAAAAAGAAAAAAGTGACAATTGAAGTGTCAGTGGATGGACTTAAAGTAATGTTACGAAAAAAGAAAAAGGTAATGTTTTATACTACATAGGCTATATTATAATGCAATATAAGTCAACACAAATTTTATTTATATTATATATTTATTTAAATTAAATTAATTAAAATTTTATTAAAAAAAAAACAAACAAAAGTTACAATTTTTTCATTGACAATTATTTTGTCTTTTTGTGCAGATTGTTTGAGTTATTTGTATTAATAGTATATTATGTATTAAGTTTGATAAACTCCATTTCGGACGCGAATTTAATTCAGGCACGAGCGAACTTGTGAGCGAGTGTTTAATAAAATGAATGTCTAGAAAAATTTATGAACGAGTTGCATTTTATACTTTTTCTTCTTATTATTATCTAAAAATGGTTTAAATTAAATATTTGAATAGAGCGACATCTATAAAACAACTTGGGAATTTGTATTGTTAAATGTCAAATTTTATGTGTAAATCAAAATGTATCCCTTGAAAATGGACCGTTTAATGTGATATAGAAGCAGTTTTTTTACATTAAAAGTAAAGAAACTGTTTTATTGGCACTCCACGTTGGAGTCTTTACCCAAAATTAAATTAAATATAGTTTACTGCCGGCGAAATTAAAGGGTCAGTACATATAAACTTTTTAAATATTGGGGTTAAGAAACTATTTGATACTTTTTTATTTGTGTATAAAGATAATACAATAATTTTCACATTTAGTCTTACCTATTTCACAAAAGGGCACTTTATTTTAACGATTGTATGACATTTGACAACTGTTAACTAACTTAAAGCTAACTTCAGTCCGTGACTAAAGCGCCATAAAGCCATAGCTTGTCAATGAGTATTTAAAAGTTCACTTAGTGTCATGGAAACATGTACGATAATAGTTTTATTATTTTATTTTTTTATTTCCGAACTGTTTAAAATTGTTTTTACTTTTGTGTTTTTTTCTGAATTTAATTTTTAAGTTATTTTTTTATATTTAATTATTATACTAAACACAAATCGGAGGTTGTCTGGCACAATATTTTGGTTTAAATTTACAGCATAATTAAACATGATTAATCAAATTTATCGGCAAATGTGGAAAATGGCTGCAAAGCTGTAAAGTGAAAAGTTTAGCATTTAGAAGAAAAGTACAAGAAAATACTTTTAACGTTTGTAGTCCTCACAAATGGATCGCTACGAGCAAACACTAGATTTTTATTAAAGAGTTTTCTTCGTGAAGCTTTCTTTTATTACTAAAAATTTTTTAGCAGATTAGGAAAGTTTTTGCAAACTTTTGCTGTTACATTTTTCACGCGATAGTTTTTCATATTTACATAAAATATGTTCATTTAGAAGTAGTTATGTGTAAATAACTGTTTGTATATTTTATATTTAAATTTTGTAAACATATTTGTATATTTTTTATTAGAGTAAAAATATCTGTACAATGTCTGTACAACTTTGCAAAGAATATAATATATTATAAAATGTAATTTTTTCAGATATTAAATAGTTTGCCTAATTTTTGGCACATTTTACTACAAGTTTTGTCTTTGATTGCATATAAATTTTATTTGCCTGTCTGGAAAATTTTACAGAATATATAAAATACACTTAAACTACATAAATGTAGTTTATATCTCAAAAAATAAACCAAATATGTTTATATATAACCTATACGTTTTGTCTTTATACACTGGCGAAAGAAATTAACGCATCACCATAAATTTATCATTATTATGGTTTCAAATATTTTCCGAACTAATCATTCGATTTTGATGTTATTTTTTTTGGATTGTAAAACGACTCCGAGAATTTTATTAGGACTTTAGTTCATTTATAAATCTTTGTTTATTTTATATACGGGGTGTTATACTGATACTTGATTTTTTCAAAAACACCCTGTGGATAAAAGTAGCAGTAATAGCAAATCCTGAAAATAATTAAACTATAGCCCTCTTTGATTAAAGGAGATACATACATTTTAATAACACCGCATGTAAAAATTAAAAAAAAAATCAAGTATCAATATAACACCCCGTATATAAAAGCAACAAAGATTTATAAAAGAACTAAAGTCATAATAAAATTCTCTAACAGTCGTTACACAATCCAAAAAAGAGCATTTCGGAAAATATTTAACAACAAAATAATGATAAATTTATGGTTATGCGTTAGTTTCTTTCGCCAGTGTATTTTTTGATTGTAGATTACGCTTTAGAAATATTTTTACGCGGGTAGTAAAACCAGTGTGTTTATTTGTAAATTAAACAAACCCCCATGCAATGAATAATATAAATATTACCTTTCATCTTGCTGTATCATATCATGCTGTTAAATTTCGGTAACCAAGTTGAATTAAAAAGTCCAAAATATAGTGTGAGTGCCTGAAATGAGTTTTGTGAATTATTATAAATAGTTTATTCATATATTATATCACGAGAACTATGAATTTAATCAGTTAAACTAGGCTCAGTAGTTTTTTGTTTGGGTTTTCTTGGAAAATGTTGAATGCAAAATAATTTAATAAAATCACAAGACAGCGTAGCGGTCGAGGGGTTTTATTTTTAATTATTTTGCATGAAACTATTTTCCAAAAAAAAAAATCAAATAAAAAACTTACTGAGCATAGTTTGACAGATTAAATTTATATGTTGAGTGATATACGTCTAGAATATTTCTAGAATTAAAGGAAACTATTTGAGAATTCATAAAATCTGACGTATGTGTCAAAATTTATAAATATTTTTTTTAAAGAAAATTCCATTAATACCTTAAGTATGTAATAAGTAATAATTGATATTTCGTAAACTAGATAACTTATTTTTTATTGTTTTTTAAAAAATGTTTCTTAAAACTTGTAAATAACAACATAAAATCCAATATGGAGGCTAAAATTTAATCGCTGTTAAATAGTTCTAGTGGTTTAATCGAAATTTATTCAAAAATTCAAGGCTTTTAATTGGTTCATATTATAATGAGGGAAATAATCTGTAATAAATTTAGAATACAGCATAAGTTCCAAATGTGTATCAGATTATACTTTTTTACTCTTTATTTATTCCTTTCAAAAACAAATAAATAAATAAGAAGTAGGAGAGAATTAAAACTGTTTGACAGATATCAGATCTTATACGACAGCCCAGGCAACACAGTGACGTGAATATCACGTTTAATTTACGTCTACGGTGACGTCGAAGTCACCAACTTAGACACGTCTTATCGTCGTAAAATTGACGACAATATGTCACAGCGATTTCACGTGTAAAATCACGTAATATTACGTAATTATTTACGTAATTTGACGTGAATAATCACGTAATATTTCTTGAATAATATATGATTAGGTCATACACTGATAAAAATAATTACCGATACTGATATCAGATATTTCAATGCGAAATGTGATTTTGTCAAAATTAAAAAAACAAAAAATTTTTAGTTGTACTTTTAAATTTTAAGAAATAAATAGGTAAACCCTACTATATATAGTATATATATATACTACTATAGCATATATATATTTAGTAAATAATTAATAATCAAAATAAATGTATGTAAAAAAGTAGAATATCAAAAAAAAAATTTGTTAGTTAATCTTTGCAGAAACACATACATATGTCTGGCATTAAAATATCGGATATAAGTATAAATAATTATTTTTACTAGTGCATAAAGGGCTTTTGGTTTAATAATTAATAAAACATGTTTTAAGTTGCTCAAAACATTTATTATAAAATCAAATACATTAAATTTTAAGACAGATGACAGGTAGATGACAGGTCAATATTTTAGGAGCTTATGTAGGTACTTCGTTACGTAATTAAAACATTAATAAACAAACAAAAATTGACCTACCTGACACAGCCAAAGTATTATCAGTATAAATGGTTTGTTCTATGTATAAATGCCACAGATTATAAAAGTTGGACGCTTGAATCAACCATATTGTTTTTTAGGAATAAACGTTCCCTCGCTTTGTAAGTAGTGCCAACTTACCCAAGGCCAAAGAGAAACAGGGTTGCCAGGTGTAAAAATTAATATTATCGAAGAGGGTTGACAAAATGATCAAATTTACAGAAAATTATATAAAATTATCAAAACAAAAATTGTATAAAAACAAGCAAAACTACGCGGCGGATTAAATTTAATTAATTATGTTACAATTATCGATTATTATTTAAATTTTACTATTTTAAAAAAGAAAATTATAAAACATCTGTCAACACTGTAGATAAATAATTTTACTAAAATTAAAATTGTGATTGTCAACTGCAGTAACATGTTTATTTCTTATTTTGTGATAAAATGATAAAGGATTTAAAAAATCCATTGATCAATAATTATTAATCTATCTTAATTAGTTTAAAACCAAATAATGTTTAAAATTATTTTAATAAAATATTGCACGTTGATTCTCCGTCGAAATAACGTAAATTAAATAAAAATAATAATTTTTGTTTTTAAAAATATTCCAAAACTTTTTGTCGGCCCATTAAAACGGGCCAACTGTTTCTTATTAATTATCACTATATTTTCATATTTTCTTAAAAATTTCGTCATCTGTTCACGTGATAATGACGTCATTTATTGGTTATCATCGACCTAAGTTAATAATTGGTCGTGTTTTGGTGAATTTTGAGACGTCGAAAAATGGTTGAAATGTAACTTCGACCAAATTCGACCCAATTCGTCGACGATTCTACGTGATTTCTACGACCCTGTGTTGCCTGGGAGGCGACTATGATGATATTGATTTAAATTATTCTCACACTGAAACCAGTGATTAAATGAATATTCTGTAACACTTTAAAAAAATTAGGTAATTCCACATACTTATAGTGATATTAGAAAGCACATATTCCGTAATAGAAGTAAAAAAAAACTGTTTCAAATAAAAGTACAACAAAGATAACATTACACAAAAGTGCAACAAATGCTTCAACTTTTTCTTGGTTTTATAATACGGTATTAGCAATTTTCATTTTCTCTTAAATTACTACTTAGTTTGTAAAACATCAAAAGCCCACCTTAATCAATTATTGATAACTGAGCTATAGAAGATTGAAGGCAAGATTTAGGTAATGTACGTTAATTAATTTTGGTATGTAATAACAGGTACCCTTATAATTCTAAAATGGATCCTGCAACACAACAAATAATTTATCCATGTAAAATTTCTGTGAAAAGCTAAACAATAGGTTTTTTCTATTTCCACACATGTTTTCAATATACATTTCGATTTATAACCTTTATAATTGTGTTTATAAAATGTAAAAATGTGACAATTGACAGTTTCCTCTGTTGTTTCATAAATGGCGCTCTATGCAAATTTTTTATTTAAATCATTTTAAGATAGTAATAAGTATTTGTCGTAGAAAAAGTATAGTATGCACCTCGTTTATAAACTTTTCTATACACTCATTAACTTAAGCACTCGCTCGCAAGCTCGCTCGTGCCTAAATTAAATTCGTGTATAAAATGGCGTTTATCAAACTTGATACATAATATACTATTATAATACAGTTAGCAATAAATAATAAATATTTAATTCTTTATGAACATGGTTTTAATACATGATGTAATTTTTTTAGAGAAAACATTGGCTTGATGATGGAAAGTCAGTTATATTGTCCAATCCAATATATCGGATATTTTATGTATCACACGATTCTCAAGACATGAAAATATTTAGTTACATAGCTAGAGACGGTTCTTCCAATGTATTTAAATGTGCAGTATTTAAGTCTAGTAAAAAGGTAAGTTAACATAAAACCATTTTCTAGGAATACAATGTTTTTCTATAAATTAACTTGGATGTTAATTTTTATTAGTTCATATTTAATTTTGTCACTTATCTTAAAAAATAAGTAAAAAACGACAAAAACTATCAAATATTGATTGACTTCTTTTGATCTTAAACATCTTATAATTGAATTCTGGCACGTATGCATGAATAAAATTAATTAAAATTTGGCCGATTGTTGGTTTGCCAACTGTATTAGACATTCTTGTTTAGTTTTAAGTGTTGTAATGTTTGTAAAGCGCAGGTTCGCTCCCCTCTCCTATGAACGAATTTTTAATTATGTAATTCATTCATTCATTGTACGACAACCATCAAGATAAGAAGACAAATATACATCATTACACAAACGCATTTTATTAAATCAAATCAACAAGAGAAAATATAAAAACTCTATTATAGAGCCCCAAACAATTCTTATTGCTTTTTAACTTATTTTAAAAATAATTATTTACAAAATTATAAAAAAAACACTCTGATTTGGCCTGATATGTTAAATTTTTCACTACTAGGCTTGGATGCATAATCCATATTTTGAAATTGGATTGTCAATTAGTTTTAAAATATTTATTATTATTATATTATTATTATTTATTCATATTCATACCTATTCATATTCATATTCATATTCATATTCATATTCATATTCATATTCATATTCATATTCATATTCATATTCATATTCATATTCATATTCATATTCATATTCATATTCATATTCATATTCATATTCATATTCATATTCATATTCATATTCATATTCATATTCATATTCATATTCATATTCATATTCATATTCATATTCATATTCATATTCATATTCATATTCATATTCATATTCATATTCATATTCATATTCATATTCATATTCATATTCATATTCATATTCATATTCATATTCATATTCATATTCATATTCATATTCATATTCATATTCATATTCATATTCATATTCATATTCATATTCATATTCATATTCATATTCATATTCATATTCATATTCATATTCATATTCATATTCATATTCATATTAGAAATTTTATATACCTAAATTAGGGTGGTTCTTATTGACCGATGTCGAAACTTTAATCGTGCCGCCCCCTCATTTGTTTTTAAGAAATATAAAAAAAATGTACCTATGCCAAATTTGAATGTCCTAACTTATTCCCTCCTATTGCCTGTAACAACGAGAAGTTTTCCAGATAGAAGAGTTTTGCCTTTAATGTATTAATTTTTTAAAAGTACTATTAATCTATGAAAAAGTATAATTTTTTTAAAAAATGTAGAGGATATATAAGTTAATTTAAAACAAAAAAAAAAGAAGTCATGTATTTGTATCCTAAGGTCTTTTTTACTTCGCTTGATTATTACTTACAGTTTTTCATATAGGGGATTTTTGCTTTATAACGCAATAATTTTATAAAATCATTAATAATTAATGAATAATTCTAATTTTTTGAGGAAATTAAGGCAAAATATGGTACTTTTAAACAAAAAAAAAAGAATTCAAGTATGTCCATAGTGAGGTCTTTTTTAATTCATCCTTGATCAGCTACTGACCAAACTGTACTTTTTCTGAACGATATATAGTTAGAAAATGTATATATACAAATTCTCGTCACTTATGCTAAAAAAAATCTGTCAAAATTTGAGCTCTTAATATTAATTTTAAAAGGTCCATCATCGAATTTAAAGTTTTCCTATTGATTTTATATGGAAAAATAGTTTTTTAGGATTTATTTCGCCTGCATGCTATGTAGAACTTTTTTTTTTTTGATAAACAATCACTGGCCCCTTTTAAGCATTAAATTATCTACAAAAAATCTTACAGGGCCCAGTCTGTAATATTAATTTTAAAAGGTCCATCATCAAATTTAAAATTTTCCCATTGATTTAACAAGAAAAAATAGTTTTTTAAGATTTATTTCGCCTGCATACTATGTACAACTTTCTTTTTTGATAGGCAATCACTGGTCCTTTATCTAAAAAAAATCTTAAATTCGGCGATTAATTGAGTGTATTAAAGAATCTTGGTACGTTATTTATAGAGCTTCGAGTTTCCTGCAAAATTATCCTTAAACGTATTTCCTACAGTGGATATTATAATAATATATTATACAGAATAATAAAAATAGGATTTTAGACACATAACTTTTGAACTGTGATAACAAAAAATTGTTTAAAACAAATTAACTTTTTCTTATACGATTAGTACTTTAGCCGCTAAATGTAAAAATATCATTTTTTTTTAGAATTTATACGTTTCAACGTTAATAAAAAAGAAAGAGTTGAATCTACAAACTGGATTTTTTCTAGATAATTTAATGCTAAAAAAAGGACCAGTGAAAAAAAAGTTCTACATAGCATGCAGGCGAAATAAATCTTAAAAACTATTTTTCCATGTTAAATCAATGGTAAAACTTTAAATTCGATGATGGACCTTTTAAAATTAATAATACCCAGGCAACACAGGGTCGTAGAAATCACGTAGAATCGTCGACGAATTGGGTCGAATTTTGTCGAAGTTACATTTCAACCATTTTTCGACGTCTCAAAATTCACCAAAACACGACCAATTATTAACTTAGGTCGATGATAACCAATAAATGACGTCATTATCACGTGAACAGATGACGAAATTTTTAAGAAAATATGAAAATATAGTGATAATTAATAAGAAACAGTTGGCCCGTTTTAATGGGCCGACAAAAAGTTTTCGAATATTTTTAAAAACAAAAATTATTATTTTTATTTAATTTACTTTATTTCGACGGAGAATCAACGTGCAATATTTTATTAAAATAATTTTAAACATTATTTGGTTTTAATCTAATTAAGATACGTAGATTAATAAATCCTTTATCATTTTATCACAAAATAAGAAATTAACATGTTACTGCAGTTGAAAATCACAATTTTAATTTTAGTAAAATTATTTATCTACAGTGTTTTATAATTTTCTTTTTTAAAATAGTAAAATTTAAATAATAATCGATAATTGTAACATAATTTAATCCGCCGCGTAGTTTTGCTTGTTTTTATACAATTTTTTTTGATAATTTTATATAATTTTCTGTAAATTTGATCATTTTGTTAACCCTCTTCGATAATATTAATTTTTACACCTGGCAACCCTGTTTCTCTTTGGCCTTGGATAAGTTGGCACTACTTACAAAGCGAGGGAACGTTTATTCCTAAAAACAATATGGTTGATTCAAGCGTCCAACTTTTATAATCTGTGGCATTTATGCATAGAACAAACCATTTATACTGATAATACTTTGGCTGTGTCAGGTAGGTCAATTTTTGTTTGTTTATTAATGTTTTAATTACTCAGTATATTCCGTAACGAAGTCATAACACCTAAATGAAGTAAATACATAAGCTCCTAAAATATTGACCTGTCATCTGTCTTAAAATTTAATGTGTTTGATTTTATAATAAATGTTTTAAGCAACTTAAAACATGTTTTTTTAATTATTAAACCAAAAGCCCTTTATGCACTAGTTAAAATAATTATTTATTCTTATATCCGATATTTTAATGCCAGACATATGTATGTGTTTCTGCAAAGATTAACTAACAATTTTTTTTTTGATATTCTACTTTTTCACATACATTTATTTTGATTATTAATTATTTACTAAATATATATCTACTATAGTAGTATATATATACTATACATAGTAGGGTTTACCTATTTATTTCTTAAAATTTAAAAGTACAACTAAAAATTTTTTGTTTTTTTAATTTTGACAAAATCACATTTCGCATTGAAATATGTGATTATCGGTAATTATTTTTATCAGTGTATGACCTAATCATATATTATTCAAGAAATATTACGTGATTATTTAAATCAAATTACGTAAATAATTACGTAATATTACGTGATTTTAGACGTGAAATCGCTGTGACATATTGTCGTCAATTTTACGACGATAAGACGTGTCTAAGTTGGTGACTTCGACGTCACCGTAGACGTAAATTAAACGTGATATTCACGTCACTGTGTTGCTCTTATAAGAGCTCAAATTTTGACAGGATTTTTTTTAGCATATTCATATTCATATTAGAAATTTTATATACCTAAATTAGGGTGGTTCTTATTGACCGATGTCGAAACTTTAATCGTGCCGCCAAAAAAAAAAGAATTCAAGTATGTCCATAGAGAGGTCTTTTTTAATTCATCCTTGATCAGCTACTGACCAAACTGTACTTTTTCTGAACGATATATAGTTAGAAAATGTATACATACATTAGTTTCGAAAGCTTTAAAATTGGTTTTGCCTCATAAATAATCGGTTTAAGGCATAAACCCATCGGATTTGCTAGTTGAACAGGCTCGTAAATTGTTATCCCGGTCAATTGTAAACTACAGTGTAAAGTAGAAGTCGTGTATCGAGCATGGTTTCTGCCGAAAAGGCTGATAGCAAGCACGGTTTTACTGTTTGTATATGGAAATTTATTATTTAACCAAATTGTAGTGGTGATCTTAAACGCCTAGTAATTTATTGCAACATATTTTATGATACTTTAAGTATCGTATTTTATATAAATTTTTTATTATTGCTTGATAAAAACCTAAAAAGTACAGGGTAAGTGTAATTACATTACATTACATTATAAAATGAAGGCGTAAAATGTTCGTCAAATTTTAATATAAAAACGAAGTATATATTTTTTAGTAATATTACAAATGACCCAACCTTCCCATTTCTTTATTGGTGTAAAATATAGACCCGGTATTCTCTTGAAATTTATATTTTATTTAATGAAAGAATTAGTTTCAATTAAATTTCAATATTACATTTTATTACATATATATATATATTGTATATTGTATATTGTATATATTGTATATATTGTATATATGTATATTGTATATACAGTATGTCTCAGTATCTTGGAATCATATGGAAAACTTTTTTATTATTAATTTTAGGAAAAAAAGTTATTCTTCATAAAAAGTTCTGCATGGTGTAAAACTTAAAATGCAACCCACAAATATTAATTTTTTTTAGTCGTATACGGAGTATGTCAAAAAATATGAATTTGGCGCAAGAGTAAAGTACCTTTATATTTGACAATATCGAAAATTGTTATAAAGAAAAGTTATATTATTTATATTAGTATATAGTATTTTGTAACACGGTTGGTCGCGAGGTCTTCGATCGTAAGTCATTTTGTGTTTGTTATTATGTGACCCTTATATATATTATAAATTATTGACAAATGTTAAAATATGCTAAAATATAGTTTTATTTTAACAGGGAGTGGCTAGTTACCCGGAAGGGTCTGGTGAATAGGCCGTAAACTCTGAAATTGATAAACTTAATGGGTTTTACTCTAAATAACTAAAAGAGTCTATTGTGAGAGATGACTATCGAAAACTTATTGAACTGTCTGAAATATTTTTGGGAGGACATCAAGAAAAGAATAACAGTATATTTTAGCAATAATAATTAGTATATTAATATATTTAAGGGATAAAATCAACTAAATTTTTTTTTGGTTATTTTTTAATGGTCATTCAGATATAATAAAAAAAGAATTTCGGGTAATTAGTTTTACGGCCTATACCCGACACTTCCGGGTAACTAGCCACTTTCTGTAAAAATATTAATTTTTATTAAATAAAACTATATTTTAACATTTTTTAATAATTTATAATATAAGGGTCACATAATAACAAACACAAAATGACTTACGATCGAAGACCTAGCGGCCAACCGTGTTACAAAATACCGCGCGCCTAACGTTGGCTAATGGAGGGTTCAGATGCAAGTCGGCACGGGTTCCCGTTTATAGAATGAGCTGAAATTTTTACTGGGAGTATATAAACAAGTAATAAATATAATTAGAGGGTATGCGTAAAAAAAATAAAAATAAGGGACACCCTAATATATATATATATATATATATATATATATATTAGGGTGGTCGTTAAAAATTAAATTTTTTCCGACGCCCCTAAAAAGCTTTGTTTTGATGAAAAAACACTAAGATTTTTTTTTAAATTAAAAACAACACGTGCCTCAGGACAATCTAAGTTAATTTTTTGGTATAATCATCTGGAGGCACGTGTTGTTTTTAATTAAAAAAAAAATAAAATTTTCCGAGTGTTTTTTCATAAAAACGAAGCATTTAAGGGGGCGTCGCAAATTTTAACGACCACCCTATATATATATGGGGCGTGGCCTCGCCTCCCTCCAAGGCGCGTCTCAGTAGCTTGTGTAATAAACGACACGACGAAAGGTCGAGCAGGTAAGACGACGAAAAATTAAATGATAATAATTAGTGATGGGCGTTCCGGGTCACTCTTTTGAACCGGATCACTAGATCTGCATCACATATATGAACCGGTTCAACGAACCGGTTCAAAAGAACCGTTTGAATTTCAGACTAATTAAAAATAACACTTAATGAAATCATTCAGAGCACATAAACTTAAGTTTATGTTAAAAATGTTTATCACTTTAATACTTAAGAGCCTTTATTAAATTATAAGGCAATACAAATTGTTATTTTAATAATATTATATTATATTACATTGTATTTTATTAAAGTTTTGTTATACCATACTATTTATTTTATTAAAATTTTATAAAACAATAAAAACTTTATTATTTTAATATTTTACATGAAAAGTTATATTTAAAACATAAATGTTGTAAGTTTACACAATTTAAATTAATTAATATTAAAAATATATTTTAAACGACATTGTCATAAGGGAAATCATCTCATATTTCTGTGGGTTTGTAAAAAATTACCAAAACTATAAATTTGCCTAACGTAGTAACGCGCCACAGAACGCAAGAAGTTCGGTTCCGAACGATGCGACCGGCATAGGCACTAGCGAGCTGCATGATACAACAGTCATGATCGAGCCGCGCCTAGAGAATCGAGATGTTTTGGTCAGATCTGGATCACAGAAAACAAAACGTTCTGCGAGCGCGAGTCGTTCTTAAGGTACAGTTTCGTTGATGCGACTCGCGGCTGCGGCTTGCGGCTGCGACCTTAGCCGCGCCACTGCTTAGTACAATTTGTGTGTATATGTTTTGGTTGGCGCGTTCAGTCGCAGTCTGCGACTGAACGCGTCAACCAAAACATATACAAACAAATTGTACTAAGCAGTGGAGCGGCTACGATCGCAGCCGCAAGCCGCAGCCGCGAGTCGCATCAACGAATCCGTACCTTTAGCTCCAGGGAGCCGGTTCAGATCTCTCGCGACCCGCCGCTCACGGCTCGAGCGGGTCGCCATGCGCGGCCTGTTCAATGCACTCGTTGCGAGTGGTGAAGCAGTGAATCGGAGCTTAGAACGGCTTGCGCGGCGCGCAAGCCGTTCTAAGCGCAATGCGCGCGACCGGCCGCTTTGTAATTTCGGACCCGTGAGCCGGTTCGTTTAATTTTCGTGAACCGGTTCACGTAGATCACTTATAAGACCCGGTTCACTGAGCCGGTTCAGATCTGACCGACACATCTCTAATAATAATGCAAAAAATCTCATTAGCGATGCAGGCTATTTGCTTAGCTACTGTGTCGCGCGTTGGAGGGAGGCGAGGCCACGCCCCATATATATATAGATATATTCGGTTTTATTCTGAACGGGCTGTATACAGGGTGTCCCATAACTAATGGTACACAGTAAAACTGCAGATTCCTTGGGTAAAAATATTACGATTTGACCAAACTTAGCTTAGTTCAAAAGTTGACAATAACCGAGATATAAGGTGTCCCAGTGAAAATTTAATTTTCGATTTTCCTAATTAACTTATTTATAATTCAATATTTTTGCATAAATATTTGTGATTAAGGGTTTTTTGGGTCGAGAAATTTGAATTTGTTTATAATTTTGATGTAGATTGTAGAGGGCGCTCTCTAGGGCGCTCTGGGTACATAAAAACGAGTTTAACTTTTTCGCGCCTTCGCTTATTTATGTTTTTATTAAAAATATCAATTTTCCCACCATTTTTACGCAAAAAAGGTATACCTTGTAATTGTCGATTCGGGGATTTGTTTTCGAAAGTTTTGCATTTACAATATTTAATGCATCCGTTTAAATATTTATTTACAAACGTCAACAGTTCTTATTTAAGTTTTTAGAGAAACCTGTTAAAAGTTGAGTTAAAAATGCCACGACATAATTAATTTTCTAACGAAATGCGAGACATGGTATAGGTACGGCTTATACGCACAAAAAAAATTTAATGGACGAAGAGCACATCGAAGATATTTGGAAATGTATCCACATTTAAGGCAGCCAGATTTTAAAATTTTTAGAAACCTTTACAACAGACTGGGAGAAACAGAATCCTTTCGTCCCAAGCGTAATAGTGGGGGTCGCCCGAAGAGGACGAAGAATTACTAGTTCGCGTGGCTGAGAATCCGGAAATTAGCACAAGACGTATGGCTGCAAATATTCCAGTACGCAAATCATCCATTTTTAGAATTTTACGTTCATAATTTGTTGGACGTTGATCTTCCAGCCAGATTAGGATTCGCCCGTTTCTGTCGTACCCAGAAAAATGCCGACTCAATGTTTTTTAATAAAGTCTTATTCACCGATGAGCAACTTTTACACGGATAAGTTTCTTCAATTTTAGAACTAAACATGCTTGGGATTTAGAAAACCCCCAATTAGTAACCAAACGCCATTTTCAGCATGAGTTTAAAATAAATGTGTGGTGTGGACTTATTGGCAAATACATGTTACATGACAGCTATATCTTAATTTTTTGCAAAATCAGCTTGCTTGGTCTACCATTAGAGCTAAGAAGAGATAAGCCCGCTGCACAACAGCTCGGTAACGTGAACGGGAACGGGAACCTAAACGGTAAAGGTGGGAGAGACCCAGCGAACCCTATCTATCAACAATGGTTTTTTAGTCTCTCCCACCTTTAATGTTAAGATTCCTGTTCCCGTTCTCGTTACCGGGCTATTGTGCAGCGGGCTTTATATCTCATATATGTTTTTTATGCAAGTTGGTGCCCCGGCATACTATTCCAGGATTGTTAGAGATTTCTTAAATATCGAATTTCCTAACCGCTGGATAGGTCGTGGAAGACAAATGCTTTGGCCTGCCCGAAGTCCCGACTTCAACTCCCTTGATTTTTGTTTATGGGGATACATGAAATCACTTGTTTATAAAGAGACGATTGATACTAGGAAACAACTATGGCAAAAAACTCAGAATGTAGCGGAATCGTTTCAAAATGAACAACTATTATTTAAAATCAGGCGGTCATTCAATAGACGAGTAGCCAAGTGCATTGAAGTTAACAGCAATCACTTTGAGCAATTATTGTCAAAACAAAATCTTTTCTTTTATTGAGATTTCAAAGTTTTTATAATATTAATAAAATATTATGATAGTTCAAAATTTTTAAATTAATAATAAATTTATAATAGGTGCTCTAAAAATCTACCATTGTAATTTGAATTATTTGTAATTATACTCTATTCTATTCTATTCGATTAATATTTAATACAATAATGAGTTTTTAAAACGGATGGATTAAATATTGTAAATGCAAAACTTTCGAAAACAAATCCCCGAATCGACATTTACAAGGTATACCTTTTTTGCATAAAAATGGTGGGAAAATTGATATTTTTAATAAAAACATAAATAAGGGAAGGCACGAAAAAGTTCCACTCGTTTTTATGTACCCAGACCGCCGCAGAGAGCGCCCTCTACAATCTACATCAAAATTATTAACAAATTCAAATTACTCGACCCAAAAAACCCCTAATCACAAAATTTTATGCAAAAATATTGAATTATAAATAAGTTAATTAGGGACACCTTGTATCTCGGTTATTGTCAACTTTTGAACTAAGCTAAGTTTGGTCAAATCGTAATATTTTTACCCAAGGAATCTGCAGTTTTACTGTGTACCATTAGTTATGGGACACCCTGTATATATGTATATTTATATATTTATATAATAATATGTATATATATTAGAGTGTTTCAAAATAAGACAATATTTTTCTTTTTTCAAATTCATGTGAAATTCGCGTCACTTATGCTAAAAAAAAATCCTGTCAAAATTTGACCTCTTAATATTAATTTTAAAAGGTCCATCATCAAATTTAAAGTTTTACCATTGATTTAACATGGAAAAATAGTTTTTTAAGATTTATTTCGCCTGCATGCTATGTAGAACTTTTTTTTTCACTGGTCCTTTTTTAGCATCAAATTATCTAGAAAAAATCCAGTTTGTAGATTCAACTCTTTTTTTTTATTAACGTTGAAACGTATAAATTCTAAAAAACATTGATATTTTTAAATTTAGCGGATAAAGTACTAATCGTATAAGAAAAAGTTAATTTGTTTTAAACAATTTTTTGTTATCACCTACAGTTCAAAAGTTATGTGTCTAAAATCCTATTTTTATTATTCTGTATAATATATTATTATTATATCCACTGTAGGAAATACGTTTAGGGATTATTTTGCAGGAAACTCGAAGCTCTATAAATAACGTACCAAGATTCTTCAATACACTCAATTAATCGCCGAATTTAAGATTTTTTGTAGATAAAGGACCAGTGATTGCTTATCAAAAAAGAAAGTTGTACATAGTATGCAGGCGAAATAAATCTTAAAAAACTATTTTTTCTTGTTAAAACAATGGGAAAATTTTAAATTTGATGATGGACCTTTTAAAATTAATATTACAGACTGGGCCCTGTAAGATTTTTTGTAGATAATTTAATGCTTAAAAGGGGCCAGTGATTGTTTATCAAAAAAAAAAGTTCTACATAGCATGCAGGCGAAATAAATCCTAAAAAACTATTTTTCCATATTAAATCAATGGGAAAACTTTAAATTCGATGATGGACCTTTTAAAATTAATAACACAGTGGCGTGAATATCACGTTTAATTTACGTCTACGGTGACGTCGAAGTCACCAACTTAGACACGTCTTATCGTCGTAAAATTGACGACAATGTCACAGCGATTTCACGTGTAAAATCACGTAATATTACGTACCTAATTATTTACGTAATTTGACGTGAATAATCACGTAATATTTCTTGAATAATATATGATTAGGTCATACACATAAAAATAATTACCGATACTGATATCAGATATTTCAATGCGAAATGTGATTTTGTCAAAATTAAAAAAAACATGAAATTTTTAGTTGTACTTTTAAATTTTAAGAAATTAATAGGTAAACCCTACTATATATAGTGTATAAATACTATATATATAAAAAATAATTAAGCATAATAAAATTAGCGATTCAGCAAATGAAAATCAGGAACTAGAGGTAGTTCGAATAATGAAAAGTTCAGAGAATGATAAAGTTAATGTTATTATATCTGTTGATCATAAAACAAGGGAGTTTATTTTAAATCTAGGTAGACTATCAGTGGGGTGGTCATCTGGAAAAGTAAAAGACTCATATCACGTCAAAAGATGCTTTAAATGTGCAGATTTTTGGCATATTGCTGCTGACTGCAAGGCAGGGGGGCAGTGTTGCTTATCTTGTGCAGAAAGTCATGATACTAAGTTATGTACCAATGATATAAAAAAATGTGCAAATTGCATACGGCTACAAAAACGCTCTAAAAACAAAATTGATTATAATCATGCATCAACAGATTCAAACTGTCCATGTTACGTTAAAATATTAAATGACTTAAAAACCGGTGTTAGTCTAGGCATGGCATAGCAATTAAATAAATTTAAAAAGTCAAATATTTTATATTATCAAAATATTAGAAGCTTATGTAATAAAATGCGCGATTTTAATATAAATTCACTAACTGAAAATTATGATTTTTTGTTAATTACGGAAACATGGCTAAAAAATAGTGTTAACAATTCAGAATTTATAAATAATAACTATGAGGTTTTTCGCAAGGATCGAACTGGCAAAAAAGGTGGTGGGGTCTTAATAGCTATAAATAATTATTTCAAGTGTGAGGAAATTAATTTATTTGATGATA